ACAGGAAACTCCAGTAATTCATTCATCCAATTTCCATATTTGAGTAAGCAGTGAGATCAGTTTTCCTGATATATAGTGATTTTTCTGAACCACTACTTTACACCAAACAACAAGTGAAAAAAGGAAATGAGAAGATGAGAGAGGGGAAAAAAAGGAACTAGCATCTCATAATCTTATTTCCCAACTAACTTATCATGGATGAAATCCCCTTCCACTATGTCAGGACACTTATTGTTATTTAATTTTCCTTGAGAACAGCATGTAGGATATGAAAACCACTTCGAAATCTGTTTTAAAAAGTCTTGCTTTTGCCATGTCAGGGTTAGATGGTGTGAGCATCACTGCCTTATTTTCAATCAGGCTTGAAAAGTCATGCCATTTGGAGCAAAGCTAGTGACCTCCTTTACCTCTCTTAATCCCTGGAAATAACTCACATGCTGTTCCTTCCCTCTTCCATGACTGCTACCTCTAATGCACATTCTTTTCTTTTAAGACATTCTCTAAGGGTGTGGAAACATAAGAACCTTTTTACTTGAGTATCTCCCAGTGCTTAGTGAACACTAAACATGCTTTGCAATGCGTATTTAGGGAATAAATGTTTGATGTGCCAAATAGATGAAATGAGATAGAGAGCTCAGAGGAGTTTTCCAAAGCTATATTTTGCAGAAATTCATTTGTGTATATGAATGTAAGCATTCTGAATGCCATCCCCTTATTTTTATTCAAAATACATGTGTTCCTGCATATTTAGTCAGGAAGATGTCGTTTGCAGATGTATTGTTTGAAAAGCTATTGAAGGGTCACAAGGATATTCGTATGGACTACTCCTCTGAAATGTATCAGAGAAGGTATTTGTTGCCTGGCAGAAATTTAAAAGCATGATATCTATTCTTAGGGCTGTGGAAATGTCATCCAAATTCCTCTTTGTATTTGAAATGTCTCCCCCCCGCCCCTCCTGGAGACAGCTTCGAGATATGTCTGGTCTGACACGTGTAAACATTTTCAAATTGGATATTTACGGAGCGTAGTAATACAGATTATTTATTCCTGCCCATGTTTTGTTATCTGATGTATTTGAAGTTACTTTTATTTGCGTTGTGTGAATCATGGTGCCTTGTCTTGTAGTACAAGAATGAGGACATTAAATGTAGAGCAAGCAGGCTTGCATGTGTCTTATTAATGTGCTCAGAGAGATTGCTAGATGCTAAAAACAGGGAGACCTCACTGGTTGAGGAAATTATAGTAATTGTCTTGGTTTCACTTGCATGYGTGGGAGAAGTATTTGATGGAGAGCTGTGCTCTGAAGCCTTGCTTATGTTGTGGCTGGCACCCTGTGCTTTCTTAAGAGACACAAGAAAGGTGTGACATATTTAGCAGTGATAACCTGCTACAGCWGCTGATGTTTCACATGTCACGGGCATTTACTGCTCTTGCCTCCAAAACTAAATGGTAAGCAACCTGGCTGAGCATTTCTCTGCTGTCCATATACTTAGAAAAGTAACTCACAGCTATTAACCACACCTGTAGGCATATCTAAGGTTCTACTGATCAACTCATTACTGACTCAGAAAACAACTGTCATTGCTAAAGTCATAGGTTCCTTTAACTTCTCAAATCTTTGATTTTGGCACTTTGATTCGAAGTAATAGCTAAATGCAAGATCTGAGGAAATAATATGCAGAGGACAGATGGCTTTCAGGTATCATTTTGCTTCAGCATATGTATGGAAATAATGAACTATAAACTAAGAGAAAAATGAATGTATAAAACTTGATCTGTATTCAACTGTTTCATTTTTAAGCTGCAGAAATTGTTATTCAAGAATAATTTGCATACACATATGTTGTCTGTGTTGGGGAAAATRATCAGAGTATTGTTTTTTTCTTGAATTCTTGAGAGGTTTTGAGAGACTCGTCATTTTGAATGACTGAATCTTTGTATATTATTGTGTCCATTAAATCCTTTAAATTATGATGACTGGCAAAGCACTCTCTCTGCAATTGTAGTAGTCTGTGGATAAAGATAAGTCTTCTGTGAACTAAACAATATTTGTACCCACTGCTGTGGAATTGAGAAAAGAACTAATTCATTATTACAGTGTTCTAAGCAATGATCTGTATTTCACGGAGAGTGATCACATAGATCATTGATTACTAACGATGAGCTAAGCAKGTAAGATTGTATTTCAGGAGACAGCTCTTCGTAGAATTTCTCATAACACAATCATTTTTCCAAAACTTTGTACTTTGAGCTTTAGATTTGAAGTGTTCTTAACAGTTCTAGTATTTGCAAACAAGTCAAAAATTAAAATGGATTAATACATAATTATGCAATTAGTTCTTTCTTGAGAGAATTCTTCCACAATTTCCTACATAATATTTCTATATAATCTTAAATTTAAAATAAAAYACAAGCAATTCAAGTTTAGAAATATCTTTAGTTTAATTGCATACATAGTCTCACTGTTAGTAGATACATATGCTCTGGGCCTTTCAGCAGCAACTCTGACTTGAGCTCCGACTTTTCACTCCATGTGCTGCTTTGCATATACTGAACATCTCCACTCAGAAATGAATGTCAGATAGTTATGGAAGAATCATGGAGAGCTGTTTTCTAACACAGTTGTTCYTGGCCCAGTTTTCCATTGCATCATTTTTTGTGTACAGCAGGCTTGAGTTTTAACAACCTTTCTGTGTAGGCTTCCACCTAAGCTGTTTATCCCCTTGTGTGCACAGACTTAACAGAATTTGAAGAACCTTGTTTGCAATCTTTATAGGCTTTGACTGCGCATATTAAAAGTTGCTTTAAACACAACAGAAAGTCAGTATATGTGCAGGTGTATTTGGATTTACAGTGCACTCATTGTAGCTTTTAAAATGGAAAATACTTTGTCAAAAATGGAACAAATGATAAATGCCAGACCCAAGCCTTTACAGGAGAATCATCTTATATTGTATATCTATCTGTATCCAAAGAGATGACAACTGTTGTGTGTTTATATTCCTACATTTTAGTGTTGCTATCAAGAATAACTATATGCCATGTCAGCATAAAGTAAGAAAAAAAAATCTGTGGGTACTTAAATATTTGCTACTTTTTCTTTTCTTTAACAGCTTTTTGGAAACTGCAGCCTATTTCTGTATGAAACCAAAAATGGGAGAGAAAGAGGTGTCCCCACATTCTTTCTTCAGTATTTGGCACGAATTCAGCTCCGACTTCAAAGAGTTCTGGAAGAAGGAAAACAAACTTATTCTGCAGGAGAGGTACGTTTGTTTGTTTATTCAAAGGCTTCTGTCAGAGAATGTTACTAGGAGCAATCACACAGAAACCAGTCAGTCGCACTTCATTAGCACATGAACTATTGAACATCTTTTTTTTTTTTTTTTTTTTTCCCTAATAGTCATGCTGTGTGAATGAGACTTTAATACCATTTTGTGCTGAATTTTTTCAGGTCCATTCTCCCAATGATATTTTTGGTAGAACATATAACTACTATGTTGCTATAAATACAATCAATGGGAGACTTGCTTCAGTTCTGAAAGTTAAAAGTTTTTCTATTTGCATGTTTACTGAAGTAAATTTACTGAAGTCAAGGCATTAATACATCACATGTAAATACTTGTCCTATGAAGCTGAGAAAAAAAGGACAGGGAGGAGGAAGTGAGAGCAAAAAGTCAGTTGACCTCATCTTAAGAAAAGAATTAAACCAAAACAGAGCAAAATCACAGCTTCATGCAGATGTGTTATCTAGTGTAAAGAATTGAGACGGCACTTGTGAAATACCAGTCACACTGTCTGTGTCATATAGTAAAGGAGCTATGAAGCTTGCTTTCATTGCGTGCGGCTATTGTGGTCATTCTGTGTGTATAGAAACAATGCCAAGATTTAATCAGCAGTTTCATAAATAATAAGTGCCATATAAGGACAGATTTTTTTAAAAAAAATACAAACATGAAAATGGTAAACAGAGCTACGTAATTCTACATCTGTTAGCAACTTTGGGTGACCCTAGGAGGTTAGTGAAGCTATGGCTATGCCTTATCATTAACAAGACTGAAGCTTCAGGTCCTGTGAGTGAGTGTTATTGGCCCATGTGCAGGTAACTTAACAAGAATATGCCCGTTTTTCAGAAATGCTCAGCTGACATAATTGTCTTAAATTGGTTTAAAATTATGTCTCAAATTATTACCTCAGGTTACTGGTGTTAGAAGTTACCAAAAACTTCAACACCAATATAACAAAGAAGTCAAATAATATGTCTAGTATATGTGAATGCATTTTAGGAATGAATAATCTCATACTTAAACTGGGTTTTACTCCTATTGCAAGTGTGCGGTGTAGATGTTAATACAGTGCAGCACCTCTCTGGGGATGTGTTTCACTTTACTGACTGTCTGACTTAATTTTATGTAATTAAGTATCTCTCTTCACAATTAAGTCGAGCTGACAGTTAAATACTATCTCCAATTTCCTATGCAGATATTGCTGCCAACTAGATACAAGATAATTTCAGTTTATATTTTTGTGCATTTTTTTAAGAATGGTGTTTAAAAACTGTCTTTTCTGTTGTGAAATACAGTATTTATTTTTTAGAAACAAACATTGTCCTCAAAAAAAATTCACTGCAAAATATTTTTTCTTTAAAATGAATGCCTACAAGCATAAAACTTATTAGTTCTATTTTTTCTTCTACCTCTGAAGCTTAAAAGTAGAATAGGGATGTAAGACATTCATTCAAACTTCTTTCTGTTTGCTGCATGAATAGCGTATTTCATGCCATATGTTGAAGCAACAGAAAGCAAAGTGGCCACCCCCTGAGTCCTTCTGGGGCAAGGGTGTCATTAGCCTGCAAGGCACTGAACGTATTGTCTAGACGTTGGCTTCAGAGAYGAGATGAGACAGGGAAGGAGGGAGATAGGAATGACAGAGCCTGCAGTGGGCAAGAAAGCTGAGAGGTTCCTGGGAAGCAGCAAGCAGAGCCAAGGTGAAGCTTGGAGCTGACGGGCAGGAGAAGAAATCCCCAGCGGGTCAGAATGGACTATCTGGAATTACCTGAAATCTTAGAAGTCACTGAAAGTCTAACTAAAAGTCTRACTAAAAATGATTCATACCTAAAATGATAGGTAGTGGGGTTTTGTTGTTGTTTTGCATTTTGCCTTTTTTTTTYYYCCCCCTAGAATTGTAATTTTGGCTTGTCTCATCCAGTTTGAATCTTGCTCTTTTATACATTTCATTAGTTCTGATGAGGCTGGGTTTAGAGTTTGGAAACCTTTGATGTCTTGGCTTGTACTCACCTCTCTAAAGTCTGGCATGGTGCCATTTCAAGACTGGCCAACTCAAGGTCTCTTTGTTGCCTATTAGGAATATTTTAATTCCAAAAATATTTTAATTTTTGGCAAAATTGGCAAGAATAAACATTTTACAAGGAGAGCTTTTTTATTATTATTATTACTTTTATTTTTATATGCCCAGAAGCGAAGAATCTTCTTTAGTAAAGTGACTGTATTAACAAAGCCTTTGCATGGAAAATATTTAGACTGCTGTCGTAGTTCAACTTGATACCTTAAGTTGTTCTTTAGGCTGTTTACTTGACTTGCAATTTCAAGCTTTCTTTGTGAAAGAAAAGCTGCTTTGATGTGAGACCCTATTGAGTACTAAGAGAGGACAAAGCACCTTGACAGAAAAATAAGTACTGCAAAAAAAGTGTAAGAATGCACAACATGATATTTTTCAAAATCTGTGCTTGTATGGACAGATCCATAGATGATGGATGTCCACTTGCACCTTTGAAATAAAAAATATTTGTTCAAGAAACTGGTTTATAATCCTCACTGATGTAGTGATGTTATGGAATTTCTACCTACTTTGTGATGATTTATGCCCATCAAGTTCTCCTGATGTTATTTTTACCACATGACTAGTGCCTGGATTATATGAAGGTCTCAGCAGTAATATTTGAGGGGCAAAAATCCAAACTCCTTGGAGATGGTCACAGAATTATCATAAACTCTAAGGAATTCTAGAATTTCCTGTTGTGTATTTTATCAACAGATTTTAATTGTTTCTAGGTGCATAAGGTAAGTTGTGTTATTCTCTGCTGCTAAAACTGAAGAGCTGACTAGTATGTTAATGGTCAAGACAACTTTCTGTAGGTTTTCATTGGCAGTAAAATGTTTAAGTGACAAATGTGGTGAGACTTTAAATATTATAGCATGMCACCATTGTTGGAGGATTATTTGCCAGGGTGTTAGCTGATGTAAAACACTTTAATTATGATCATTATTTATAAAACATACAACTTTATTCCCTTTTCCTTTATTTAGTTTGAGCATCTTTCTTTTTCTCCCGTTCTTTTCTCTTCTCCCTCCACTCTAGTATTCTGTTTAATAAATGTTTATGCTATGGGCAATATTTCTAGGGTATTTTATATCCCAGTTTCCATATGGACTGTGTAGAAAAGGAATTGCTTGTTAATAGTGGCTGTTCCTTATTTAGTCTCTGCAGATATGAGTCACACTGTTTCACAATAATTTACCCAAAGGCTTTTCGTAGATGGTATTTCCTAGGGTGGTATTACTTTTTGTTACTGATACTTTTAAAATGTATATGTTTTACAGAAAGCAGTCAGACAGCTTTTATTTTAAATACTTTTCAGTCAGAATTTCAACTTGTTTATTGGTCTGCCTGGCATTTATATGCACAAGGTAAACACTGAAGTGTCAGACTACATATTCCTTTACAAGAAGATGAGAGGAAAAAAATAAGAAAAATGGTGCAAGGTTAAGAACAAATTATTTCTTTCTCAACTTTTCTACTGCTTTTGCTCTGTTCTGTCAAATGAAATAAAGCAGAAGTGGAAAATACCAGCTGTAGAGAAAATTATGCATGATAAACTGTTAAATACAGTAGCAATAAAAAGAAAAAATGCACCTGAAAATTACTCTGGAAGCGTATTTCTGCCAAAAGGTCTATTGCAGTTTTCTAACAGTGCTGGTTTTTGTGATTACACTGCAGCTGAAGCTAAGTGAAGCATTCGGACCAAAATCGTTATCTGGGTTATTTMTAATATTCTCACAAATCTTAAGTTTGAAATTTCTCATGCTATGGCTAACCTAAAGCTTTCACTTTTAAGTGAAAATCTTGAAAGTAATATAACTTCTTATTGATGAAGCAATTAAAAAAAAGTCTAAAGAAGGCATATTTGGGTTTTCAGAACCATAAGTTTGTTTCACTTCTGTATATTTTGATGTATGAGGATTATGCACTGCGTTCATACTGTGAGAACTCTGGAATGGTATCTGCTGGTATATGTGGCCTTTTACATGTGATCAGCATGAAGGCCCAGAGAAACTGGCATTCTCTTCATTAATTTCATTTCAATGTTGTTTGAAAGAAAAAATAACATTTTGAACCTTGAAAGTTCYGTTCAAGCAAGTTCAGCTGCCTCGTTACATGATTTATTTCAGTTACTGAATGCCCTGAAATACAAATTGTTCTCTGAATATATATTGTCAGATTGTGCACAACTGCAACTGTAGACTGTGTAGAGCTATACAAAAGTTTTACCTTGTCAGGAAAATTTTATCTTAAAAAAATCACACCGGAAATCTTCGAATGCATCTTTTTTTTTTTTTTTTTTACCTCCTGTAGACTGAGCATTTGTCTCATGCAAACTGATATATTTATGGGGAAAGAGTTAATTTCTTTATTTTTCTTTCTTTATCCCTGCACCTTTTATTTTCTGGTTTCTTTGAATTATTGAGGTAGATATGTTCAATATTACATTCATTTTTCTGGTATGACACYTCTTTGAGAGCGAAGAGTGGTTCCACTTATCTTGCTCTCCAGTGAGGACTACAAAACAGTTKCCCAGAGCACTGTCACTTTCCTAAGAACCAGGAAAAGATCTCCTGTCTTAGGACCTGAAGAGAGAAAAAAAGCTGGAGAGGTAACACTCATTAAACTCCTTGAGAAGAAAATCTTGAAAAGTTATGGCCAATTAGAAGGGAAAAAAATAAAAGGAGTTAAGTAGCTACAGTTTCTGGCAGACAGATATGGGGGTTGCAAATTCTTGGTGGTAGAAATGCAAATAATTATCAGAAGATCTCATATTGGTATGCACATCTCACTTAGGACTCACTTAGATGGTCTATAACTTTATCCTTTCTTGAATGATGTGAAATATACTCTGGCTTAGTACAGTAACAAGGAAGGAGTCGGTATTTTCAGAAAGGTTAAAAGAAGAGAGAACAAGGAAAAGTTT